TGTAGCAGGTGTTGCAACAGACAATGTCTACCAGTACAAGTCTGTTACAACCCGTGGCGTCCGCTTGACACAAAGACGAAACTGTATTCCGGCCCTCGTGTTCTGGTTACGGGCCTCTAACGACGCCCACATTGCCTTGGTCGCCAACGACGGCGACACTGACAATAACATGTACGAGATCGTCATTGGAGGATTAAGCAACACAAAGTCTGTCATCCGAGAAAGTAAGCAGGGCACAAACGAGGCATTTGCTCTTCACAAGCCTCTCTCTCCGGATCAGCATTTACCATTCTGGATTAGCTATGACAATGGTCTGGTAGCAGTGGGATATGGCGTCACTGTTGGAAGACGGGAGTTCATGTCGTGGACGGACGCAACACCCAACAACGTCGGATACGTCAGCATCACCACGGGATTTGGCTCTGATGGACACTGGCTCTTCTGTGAGTATTTGAATTCTGAGTGATCCATTCATATTATCTTCATTGGGATTATGTCTTTTAAGGACAAAGAAATCTGCTTCGGCAAGAATGTTTTTCTTGTGCTGACGTTTTATATAATCACTATGGATACGTTTGTTGATGTGCTCCGACTCCGGTGTGAGTAAATATAGTCTTACCCCGCTGTTAGAAATATTCCAGCAATATCCCGGCAACTGAAAAAGGTTCATATATTGCACCCATGTGGGGAATCGAGTCCAGGTCTTCGGCACGATGAGCGAACGCTTCAGACACAAGGCTGGTCCGACTTAGGGTGAACAAGTAGTTGAATGTAGGTTTCCAGGTGTGTTACCGAGGCTATAGAGACAAGCTGAGCCAGAACAACCTGCGGTTGGCACTATTGTCAACAATACATGATGTTATGGTATATGACACAGAATCAGCTAGGTCATACATTCTGAGCACTCAGTCCTCATCAGTTCGCTCTAAGTCAGGCATTAAATGGTTCAGGTCAGTTCTGACCTACACTCTCCTATTTAGAGTTTGACTGTGTCCTTAAGTATTCTGCTTGCACCTCCTGGACCTGACGAACACACCGGACATATTATGCAAGACATGTTGTGTACATAAGTACACCTTGGTGAAAGGTGAAACTTTTGTAAGCTACTGTAACTATCGTCATTTTGTTCTTCTGGGCATAGTAGACTAATAAAGTGGGCACATTTTTAAATATTTGTTTCAGATGCAAGAGACAGATAATTGGATGAAGTGGCGCCTTTACAATAAACATTTGGGCATACTGCAATAATTTCGACTCTGATTTATATTCTTCTTTTTTGCAGATACACAAAAGAATAAAACTGTACATTAAATGAAATAAACCATTCCGCAACTGCATGTATATATGTTTCGATTGTGTAACTTGACAATACTTACCTTCAAAAAGTTATTGCTGGTCTCTCTGTCCCAACGGTGGCACCCGACACAACACATGCTAAGGCAAGTCACTTGTGCACCTGAAAAAGACATGCCATGATTGACCATTGAAATATTGGAAACTAAGATTGATAAAAGATTTCTCCTGGGCGCTTTCTTTCTTCTTGCAGATCAACCAGCTCTTCGTTTTTCGATCCTCCATAGAAAGCATCTATGGTTAACGATTTATTAAATACGGAATTTTCACGAATGAACATTTTCTGATTAAATGTAACTGAGTGAGGATGTGGGATTGGTGGATGAATGATACCTTCTTCACCTGTTAAGATTGACTGCATGTAATATCATGAAAACTTGACATCCATCTCCAGTTTGGTTTATATATGTATTCCTTCCGAATATATGCGACCTTGATTACTTGATCGAAGCTGTACTCAGTCATAATCAGAACTGGCGTTCTCATGTTCTATGAAAACTTACAACAAACAATCACTCAAATACTTCATGATTGCTTCATGTTGTTTCAAGCGCTAACACTGGTTTGTTTCACCTGTGACTCGATTCATTTAGCACGTTGGTTCGCAGTGGAAATTAAACTCAACTAACTTAACATGAATGTACCTCGCAATCAACTAAACGTGAAATCCCCTTTTTATGTGATGAGCAATGAACATGTAATACGATGCAAGGAAAACGAATTTTAAGTGAAGCTTCTGTTTAATTAGCGTGTGTTTACGATGTCAGTGGTCACTCTCTCAACTATTTCTACTCAGTGTGACACTATACTATTCTAGTTGACTAGTTCTGTCACTCAGAGAGAGGACCCGTGAAGATCCGGGGTAGAATAGGTCTCCAGGAACCCATACTTACCGTAAAAGGCGACTAACGGGGTCGGGTGGTCAGGTGGTCAGTTGGTTGATGCATGTCATCGATCCAAATTGCGTGGATCGAACCTCATGATGTCAATCACTGGATTGTCTGGTCCAGATTCGCCGTCATATAGCTGGAATATTGCTGAGTGCGGCGTTAAACAACAAACAATCAAACAAAACACCCATAAAAGATATCCATTTACGACCTACACCTGTGAACGAGAAACCAACTGAAAACATTGGAGTAAAATACAGCGTCTACGCTGGACGGCCATGCAGTGGGGACAAGTCCATTGAGATATCCCTCTACCACTATCAAACGGGTCCTCTAGCTTGCTTTAATGCAACCCCATACCATAACGCTGCCGCACCCGAACCGATCTTCGTCCATGACACAATGACTGACGTAACGTTCACCTCGACGTCGGTACACTAGAATCCGTCCATCGCTGTGGCTGAGGTGAAAACGAGACTCGTCAGTGAATAGAACTTGTCCCCTCTGCATGGCCGTCCAGCGTAGACGCTGTCTGCACCACTGTAGACGTGCTTGACGGTGGTTTCCTGTCATCATGGGACGTCTGGCGGGTCTGACGACGTACGGTTTGTGAAGATATTTGTCGAAGGCAAGGGATGCTTCTTGTAGTCACTGTTGCTGGCTGGAATCGATTTCGTAGGTGTGTTGTTCAAATCCAGTTGTCTTGTCAATTATTGGTTACGCGTGGCCTGCCACTCCGAGGATCGTCTCTGACTGCATTCGTCTGTTGCCAACGTTGCCATAAACACCACATGGTGTTTCTATGGACGTTAAATTGTCTTGCAGCATCACGTTGACTCGATCCTGCATCAAGCAGACGCTCATTTTCGGACCGGCGTGGCATTTCGTAATGTTGAATAATTGCGTAATTTTGTTGTTTTTCTGAGTGGTTGTTGTCAGAACGATGCTAAACAATGCATATGGAATCCCGTTAACGCACATGTTTTTATACCCATTCTTGGGTAGTGAAATGCATTGGGCTTGCATAAAGTCAACTTTTGCTTGGAATGCATCCTTTTACTGTAGCAGTTCCGTTTTTGTGACTTGATTCCATATATGAACTACACTTTACTTGTTTGAAAAATACAGTAAAGTATTGGTGTCACAGGAACTTTTGTTGTTGAGTATATATGAATTATAAATAAATTCAATTATTAATCGATCAAGAACATACACGTCAGTCATTCTGAATTTATGTAAAACTGTTATGAATATCAAAAGTAACATTCTTATTTTTCATATATTATTAATTAATTAATTGATTGATTAATTAGGTGATATATAGTTAATACACAGTGGATATATATTGAAAAACACTATCTGATAATATAATTTAGTATTCTTATTCCATATAGTCTTCACAATCTTCGTCTTTCCTTTCTGAAAAAGTGGTCACAAAATACTTTTTTACAGGAGAGGGGGCCACTGGTGAGTCGTCTCAGGTGCTGCAATTCACTGTTCAGAAAAGCGTGTCCTGGGAAACCGCTGATCGCCGGTTCGAATCCAGGTTCGTCCAGTTTATTGTTTGTAGATTTGTCAGCACCACAATCGTGCCCTTGGATTTTACCAGTGGAAGAGTGAAAACGAGTTAATAACTGTTTCACTTAGGGCTTCTCTCCAACATCAAGCTGACAAGCTTTGCTATAACTGCAATACAGGGAGGCAATAAACCAAACTTACTCTTATGGCAACAAACTGTATACATGTAGGATATACAATACGAAACGCCCCCAAAATATGATACATGTTTAACAAATGATCTTATGACAATCACTGCTCGTTCTGTTATACGAAAGTATTGTCAATGTTTATTTTAATTATCATAATGATTGAGTCACTTAATATATAGAAAATAATATGGTTGTGTTTTTTGTATTACAATGTTTTCATAAAAGATGGGTAGGAGATTTCTCCTTTTGAATATCAAACTCACAATTCCTAAATTACGATGTAACAATGCAAGAAGCAATATGTTATCATCCTAGTCATTTCGTCAAAGTAAGTATGTTTTTCCAAATAATTGGAACTTCTTTTAAACTGTGCGAGGTGCGGTGGAGGGAGATACGTGTGACGTAGTAACTGCCCACTGTTCGTTTGCGCTGCAGGCTATAGACATACTTTAGACAGGAGTCAAGATTAAGATATTCATACCTCAACCGTTGAAGATTTCGATCCTTGTCAGATCGCGGCCTGGGATCCAAGGCGGTTTGTGAAAGTGGAATAGGACTGAGGTATAGCAATTGTAAAGTTGAATATAAGCACTAAATATCAACAGGAACTAAGATTGTTTTGTACAAGAGGGCCCTGATTTTAATGAAATTGTTCGATATTCAAGCACTAGGATTTGATGTTGGATAGAGATGAAGCGACAGATGACATCTCGTTCGACACCTGTTGTATTTTACTTCATCTTCTCCTGATGTGGTACAGATATCGATGTTCTGTTACATATAGATTTTACAAAATGACTAGCCGGAGTTTTCACTGCATTGCAGGGTGACAGATGGCTTGACCTATTTCGGGAATCGGAAAGAAACAAAATAATTATCTTAATATTAACTCTTGAGAACGATTTCGCCACTGGATTCCGTGGGTCAACGCCTTTAACGAACTGTGACCAGATATATTGCTTGCTTCTCTTGCATCTCCATAAGGTGATATAGCGTAAGATAGATATTCGTTTGTGAGATCATGTCACATATGGCTTTGCATTGAATTCAGTAGTAGTATCACATCACTGATTCGCAAACATGACATCCCTGACGCTTGTGTTGCTGTTGACCATTACCTGTGTCTTCGTAAGAAGTAAGTATTAAAAGTTGTCCGACACCCAAGTAGATATTAACAAATTGCATGTAATCAAACAGCCATCGGTGACACCTGCTTAGTCAGTCCTGATTTGGAGAGGTCAATGTCGAATTGGCCAATCCAGGTAAACGCATGGAGATATCCTGTAAGGATCTGCCGATGTGCATCACATTTGATTCTCGCATCACTAATTGGCAGGACATGCTTGACCATGATTCACTGTTTGGTAGGGTTGATTTTTAACATCCCAAAGGGCTCACGATTTCCAAGCATCGTCTTACAAGGACATGTTAATCATTGTAAGCGCTGGTTTTCTGATTTGTGGGTTTAAAGAAATGGTACGATCAACAAACTGTGAGATGTTGGGCAAAGTAAACATGTAACGGTCGGTAACTTGGTTGATATTGTGTCATCGTACCCCAATAGCGTGACTCGACTCGGTTATTTTGTGCGTGTCCTTTTTTATTGTTTGTTGTATAACGCCGTACCCAGCAGTATGATGGCTGTCTGGTTATATCGAATCTGGACCAGACAATCCAGTGATTGATGTCAGGCGAATAGGTATGCACAACTGGAATAGGATAAAATGCATCAACCAAGTCATCAAGTCTGACAACCCGATCTCGTTAGTCGCCTCTTTCGACAAGCATGGATTGTTGAAGACCAATTCTAACCCGGATCTTCATGGGGGAGAGACAAGCATGGGTTGCTGGAGGCTTATTCTGACCCGGACCTTCATGCGAGACAGGTCATCGTCATGTAGCTGGAATATTGCTGAGTGCGGCATTAAAGAATAATGGAACATCATTTTTCAAGATATTTCAAATGCAAAAATACTGTCGTATGTAATTTACATGGCTTAAATTAGACGAAGGATATTGAAATATTGACAAATATTCAAAACCGATACAGATATTTGAAACTCCATTTTTTATCCTCTTTTTGGCCCTATCGTTGGCGACAGATTTTATCGTACAGCGTGTAGACCATGATTATTCTGGTCAAAGACTCTTGAACACACAGGTCGTGAGTGCCTTTTTAAATATCTGCTTCTCAGTTTCCTATTTGTTCCATGGCAACTGGCCAGCATCTTGAAATGACCTGTAGCCATATGTTTCTGTACACGTGAATGGGTCGTAAAACCAGTGTAGTCACGGCCTAATGACCGTACCGCTTTCCTCTCTCCGTGAAGATCCAGGGTGGAATATGTCTTCAGCAACCCATGCTTGCCGTCAAAGGCGACTATGCTTGTCGTAAGAGGCGACTAACGGGATCGAGTGGGCAGAATTGCTGACTTGTTTGATGCATGTCATCTTATCCTAATTGCGTGGATATATGTTAATGATGTCAATCGCTGGATTGTCTGGTTCACGCTCGATTATTTACACACCGCCGTCATATAGCTGGAATAGTGTGGTGTTAAACAACCAACAAAACAAAAATTCTCCGCAAACGGTCTAGTGAAAGTACTGCTTCCCTCTCTCTTAATTTCCCGGCGTCGTCACCGTTCGGCAAACTCGTACTCCGGTGTCTTTAAGTTCATTCTTTGGGCTCAGTTACACATTCAAGATTTTTTTACTGCCTTCCTTGATAGGACCATCCCAAATAAAATTTGTTAAAATTCCGATCATGATCCTGCGATTCGTGGCGGGAAATTCACGAACAATCAGACGTTGTTCAGGAAGCGTCCCGATTTAGCCGTTTCAAGCAGAAATCGTCTCGATTCTCCCGCTCTCAATCCGAATCTGATCCGACTTGTATGTTCCGCATAGTTAAAAAACGTCCGAATCTGTTCTCACAGCCTCTCGATTCCTGAATGCGATCCGACAGAGATCAGACTGTGATCGGACAGTGAAACGACGGTTTGCATTCGGCAAGATCTGGACTCCATCGTCAAGAAACGGCAATGAACAATTCATGCACGTTCATCACGATCCACAGGACACCATCCAGACAACACAGGACATTGTTACGATTTTGATCCGATACAGCAGAATCTGTTGCGACATAGTCACGATTGTAATTCGACTAGACAAAAATCGGCAGAGTTTCACGAATATTACGGGACGCACCATACTGTCGGGAGTGCTTGGCCGACCTCTCTGCATCTTTCCCGACCCGTAGGACTCTGTTACGAACGTTTAAGACTGGGTTCAGACAATGATAGACATTCTAGATCATTGAGGATCCTGTGATTGCTTACTTTAGGTCAAGTGCCTATTTACTATTGGGAATCAAGTTACGTTTTTCAATTATTAGTTTATTCTTGTTTAAGGACATCCTGGTACCCCTAGAAAATGTTGATCTTTTGATCGGAGAGAACGTGCTATCTCTAAGTCTGTAAACTGTGTCTGGGTTGGGTATCCATGGCGAGTAAGGCATAAATAAGGCATGGATTAACATCTTAGTATCTGATTTACCACTTGGCCTGTAACCAACCGTAGGTACACCAGAAGTATTATTCCGGCTGTCTTACTCAGCAAAATTCAAGCTGGTATTCACCACCCGATCCATCAGTCGCTTTGTGGAGGGAAGACAAGGGCTTGCAAGCCTGGAGGTTATTAAACCGATTTTCTATGTTCCATTCATATTATCTGCACCCGATATTTCCTGGACACTGGAATCTGTTTCGGTTGATAATCGAGACTGGTTATTCTCTGGCGTTGACGTTTTATATTTACTGTTGGCAATGATGCATTCGTGATAATGAGTTAAACAAGGATTCCGTCAATTAATGCGTGTGTCGTAAGAGGGTGGTGACATGCATGATTGCGTGTCATCGTACCGTATCGGCGCGGATATGACACGGTCATAGTGCTTTAATACTTGTTTTTTCTCTTAGACTCTTATGGCTGGTCAGCGACGAGGCAGTATGTAGAGCTTGAGACAGACACCCAGTATAACTACCAGTCATTGCAGGAGGTGGATGTGAAGATAAGATCACAAGCCACATCCTTCAAGTTCAAAGTAAAGTATCTTATTTCATCATTCCTCGTCACCTTTCATTATTTCAGAGTCAGAATACGTCCCCAGTATGAGGCTTGTCGTGAGAGCAACCCAAAAAGGGTATTTGGTGGTTACAGTACATGCTTGCATTCTTTTTATTAATGTTCAGTTCTTTCACACAGGAAAATAAATGACACTGAGTTTTTCCACAAACACCAGGAGCTCATTCACCGACATTTTAAGTATTGAGTCACTTGGTATTGGGTTCAAATTGCTGGATTAAGGAGAGCTTTTAAACATATATTTCTTTGGTTTCATAATATTTTAGGCTTTGGGTTTTCTTTTTCTTTTGTTAGAGCCTAGATGTGTTTTTGGTCACTACTTCAAAACTATGAAAAGAGGAGGCATTTCTTTTCCACCGTGGTTCGAGAGCATCCAGCAATGCCCAAACTGTAATGAATCTGGAAGCTTATTCGTCTTTTTACGATCGATAAAATTTAGATTTCATTACTTCATATACATATAGTCTGGTTCGAAATTATTGTGAATTTTAATGTCATATTCAAGGAAGCATACATAAAATATCAATATTGACACGTGTTTAAAATTAAGGTATGGTCAAAGGGAAGCAACTCTTCTTCAATTTTAGAAGTAGCAAATAAGAGTTATCTCCCTTAATTATGGAGCAGACGACTTTTCCTGATATATGCCAGAAATGAGTGCAGAGGACAAAAGAAGGTTGATTCTACAGCTCCATGATGGAGGCATCATTGGTGCTGCTAGAAGAAGAGAACAGATACTCCTCTTCCTACAGTGTATAAAGTTAAGAAGAATATTGAGAATGGTTCGGGAATTGAGCACAGAAAAGGAGCGGGGAGACCTCGAAAACTGGTGTTTGGTGATCGTGTGAGAATGGGTATTTCGGCTTCTAAAAACAGAAGGGCGAGTATCTCAAATATCCAACATAAAATGGTAGATAGAGGGACAGTAAATGTATCCAAATCTACAGTAAGAAGGAATTTGATTGAACTTGGATGGGGAAAAAAGAAAGGAATTGCCTCTCCGCTCTTGAAACAAGAACACAAGGATAGACGTGTAGGGTGGTGTTTGGCGCATAAAAACATTGACTGGAACAGTGTTATTTTCAAAGATGAGAGCTTTGTATGGGTGTATCCTAACAATGTTAAAATGTGGAGTCCGAAGTTTCATGTTTGGGGAGGGATATCTTCACTTGGAACGACGCCCATGTGTGTCTTTGAGGGTAATTTAACCAGTGAAAGGTATACAGACATTTTGGAAGCTCACCTGATCCCAAATGCAGATGGGTTTTTTATGGAAATACTTGGATTTTGCAACAGGATAATGACCCGAAACACACCGCAAGACATGCGCGGCAGTGGTTTGTGGACAACAATGTGACAGTTTTGGACTGGCCTAGCAACAGCCCGGACTTAAATCCTATAGAAAATGTGAAAAGACTCATGAAGGAGTCGGTGAACCAAAAGGGATTGACAAAAGTTGATGACATGAAGCGCGAGGTGGTGCAATATTGGGACTCTCTCACCCACAAGACTCTAACCTCTCTCATAGGAAGTATGCCCAATCGTATAAACTTTGTTTAGAAGCAAATAGTGGTCTGATAAAATATTGATGTTACTGTGATGTGATTAAAGTAGGTTTGTGCTCACTTAAAATGTTTTATTTTGGGGGGAAATTTTCATATTTACAATTTTAAAGATTTTCAATTCTCAATATTTATGACTCATACTGTATAACTCTATAAGGCTAAAACAATGCTGATGCAACGTTCTAATGTCCTCACCCAAACATTTGTATGTCTCTGATTACTATGAGGCTGACATGATAATATATCTAAAAATGCTTACAGATCCAGGCTTCAAATGACGCCCACGTTGCTTTGCTCACCTATGATGGCGAAACGGGACAGAACATGTACGAAATCGTCCTCGGTGGATTTAGCAATACGCGATCTATAATCAGAAACAGCAGACAGGGAACCAACAGGGTCGAAACATTTCATTCTCCTCTCAGTTCCACGGAATTCCGCGACTTCTGGATCAGTTGGGAAGGAGGTGTGATATCAGTGGGCACAGGGACGACTGTTGGCGCAGGACAGTTCATGACCTGGACGGACCCAGCTCCCAATGAGGTCAACTATCTCGCCGTCACAACGGGGTTCGGGTCTTCTGGGTCCTGGCAGTTTGGTAAGGATTAATACAGAGGAGATAGTATGAGTTGAGTGTATTTGTGTGGTATTCCAATGATATCATCAATGGAACTGAAAACTAAGAACAAAAAAGTAATATTTCCATTAACAAAATAAATAACAGCGACAAAACCCATTCCATATTCATCAAATTCGATTGAACAATTCCGACTATATCATGAAATGTGTCTATGAATCATTGTGATGACCCCATTGGTTTGCAAAAAGGTGAGAGTATCTGCCCCACCGTTGGTACCCGTCACATGCAAATGCAATTCAATTGCTCACCTAGGGCAACATGGGAACATATAGTACAAGACACAACAAGATATTTTATAAGCTCTGCTCAGGACTTAAATGTTTTAACCAAGATCAAACACTTTTTAAGCAACAGTCGTATGACACTCTTTGAAATCTTGGTAGAAAGAACATGCTCGATTGTGCCTTAAAAATTGTGAATGTAGACTCCAAAGGCTGTAGCTGCTGGAATATTGCTGGAAAGTTGTCAGTTGACTAATGAAAAGATGAAGTCATTCCTCTTGTCATGAAGGCTCCTTTAGTTCTAGTTCAGGTGTTATATCAGTGGAAGGGACTTAGCTATTTAACCGAGGGAAAGTGTTTTTATTTTATTTTCAACATAAACTATCTTCTTTTAAATAAACTGCTCATATCGATAATGAAGCCTTTCAATTCCAGCCAGGAAGAAGCTTCTGAAACCACTCTAAAAATGAATATTAACTGTAAAAGTGTTTTTAGATATATTTTGGAAAATGAAAAGCTAGAATGGTTTAAAAAAATATTTCATCTGAGGTTGTTCAAGAATCACTTGACAGTGCATTTACACGTATTGATACAAGCCCAGAATATATTGTAGAGGCATGTTGTCCAGCTTCGTCTGACAGGAACAGAAAAACTGGCGAAGTGAGAAATGAAGTAAATAATTCCTTTGACCACAGAATGTTTAAGATCTTTCAATAAAATTAGAAAATGTAAAGATACAAATTATAAGAATAACACTACTTTGTTTAAGACAAGTCAATATCTAATTAAATGTTTTCTGAAGTTTTCCGTACTGAAAATTATATTTCTTGTTGAAGTAAAGTCTTGAAGGTTTTGTAATATTCATAACGTGAACTGTCCTCTAAAGTGAAATGCCATTCTTGGTATAACATGATTATAGACCGATTTCAAAATTCTTTAAGAACCATATTTACATTTCCAACTGACTTATATAAAACTAAAACCATGAGATAATAAATGATTTCTTATGTGCGAGTATTCGTTACCATGTTATGGCCATGTATAACCTTGTGTGAGGAATAACCATAATGGTTCTTCTGATACCTTCTATATACAACTCGGAGTGAGGTTATATACTGAATTAGCAACTCAGATTTAAAACTACCACACCAGTGTAATACAATTCTACCAAGATATAGTTTTCATTTATGTCTTCTATTATTTGAAGATGATGTATTATTCAGAAACAAATTAAGGACCTACAACATTATGGAAAATAATGTATATTAACGGTAAAAGTGGATAAATAAACCCAACTGAAAATGCGATACGAACTTGCAATTGATAGTCGTGTACGACACCGTCACCCTGAACCTGAAACAATTGCACGACTTGTTGTTGGCCTTGCAACCAGAGTGGAATTAACATCCCCCAGACAGGTCATGACTTTTGTTGACCCTAATGGTCTGTAGTATGATGCTGTCATTGAATCCTTCTTTTTGGGCTGGAATATTATATTTAACTATCAACAGAACATTTGTTTTGTATTGCATCTATGAAATTTATCTTCCTAGTTTGCTGAGCCTTCGCTAACTGAATTATGTATGATTTGCTCTCGTCGCTACTACCAATGTGACGTTAAGTGTTCAGAAACAGACTTTGTATTTTTAAGATGTAATCATATTACCGCTTTTTCCTTCAGATTCCGACAGCACCTTGTTGAGTGGGGTACCTATAGCAGGTGTTGCAACAGACAATGTCTACCAGTATCAGTCTGTTACCACCCGTGGCGTCCGCTTGACACAAAGAGGTAACTGTATTCCGGCCCTCGTGTTCTGGTTATAACGGGCCTCAAACGACGCCCAAATTGCCTTGGTCGCCAACGACGGCGACACTGACAATAACATGTACGAGATCGTCATTGGAGGATTTGGCAACACAAAGTCTGTCATCCGAGAAAGTAAGCAGGGCACAAACGAGGCATTTGCTCTTCACAAGCCTCTCTCTCCGGATCAGCATTTACCATTCTGGATAAGCTATGAAGACGGTCGTGTAGCAGTGGGATATGGCATCACTGTCGGAAGACGGGAGTTCATGTCGTGGACAGACGCAACACCCAACAAAATCAGATACGTCAGCATCACCACGGGATTTGGCTCTGATGGACACTGGCTCTTCTGTGAGTATTTGAAAACGTGTTCTTAAACATAACGGATACATGTGTATCAACTATAAGAAATAATGTGTGAATATCAAAACGTGTTATTGGATGTTTTAGGCCACATATTATGCATTTAACATAGGATGCTGATATTTCTATAAAAATTGTAAGATGAAAGCGACTTCAACCCATCGAATAATACAATGACCAATTTCACATAAAATGCATTGATTCACAATTTTTAGTTATAAAAATACAGTACCTCAAAAATCACATATATCTTGATAAAACAAAAAAAGCAAACGTTGGGGATCAGGCCATGGTTAATACACTTTGAGTAAAACATTTGTGGGCTGGTGTCAGTAATTCTCAGTATGTGACCCTGAACACAAAGGAATCAAACCAGTAAGTACACATTTTATTGTTTTGTTTTCAGATCAAAGATACATTTAATTGGATGAAGGCCATTACTGTAAAAGGTTATTGCATACTGCAATAATTTTTACTGTTATTTTATTTTGATTTATGTTCTTCTATTTATCGAAAACAGAAACTGTTTCCAATACCCCCCCCCCCCCCCCCCCCCTCTCTCTCTCTCTCTCTCTCTCTCTCTCTCTCTCTCTCTCTCTCTCTCTCTCTCTCTCTCATAATAAAAGACGTTAAAAGATAATAAGTGTTGTTATAGTGTCTGGCGCTCGTTATTAAAAGGGGGGAGGGAATTAAACAAGGACTGGTCGGCTCGGTAAGTATACTGTGTCTGAGATTCATGTAAAACTGCAGCATAGTATCTCAGTGGGTTAATACTATAAAATTGGCATTAGTCGGCATTAGTCCGGACTAGGACACACCATCTCCCCGAGGCAAGAGTTAACTGGCGATGAAAGTCCAGTTTCCACCATTGCCGAGCTAGACTGGAATTAGTGGGCTCGATCGTAGCACCACCAGTGGTAATTACCAGTTATGTCCCTTCTGAGCCTCTCCTATGGACCAATCCGATTCCACCACTTGCATTTGTTTAAACAAAATGGCGGCGCCCAGTCAAGACGATCTGATCGATAATCAAGACCTATATTGTGATAAAACGGGTCTTACATCGCCAAGGGCATCAAATCACGCAAGCACCTTGATTAAAATCATGAAAAGGTCTGGAAAATATCTGTTGACAACGAGTTGGCGGTGCACATGTTTTGCAAATCCTGCAATCGACCGAAATCTGCACGACAGTTTATGAACTTGATTTCCATTTCCATTTCCATTTCTGAATCAATATTTCCATCTGAATCAATATTTGCAGTACTACAATAAGGGACCCACCATTTTATATTCTATTCTGTGCCCGAAAAGCTAGAAACAAATCTTCATATCAGTTGTTTTCAAGACCTAAATGATCACTGGGCATGCTGAATGTTCTGCAAACAAACATGCATAATATGTACTGAAATGAACAACTCACCACTTATACATCATATGATTGTGTTAACTCATTACCAGTATGCAAGCCCATGCATATAAATATTATGTAGACGTGTAGACACAAATACATATATACTGCAAAGTGTATTTAAAACATTAACAGTCCTTGGTGTATAAGCATAGCTTTCGATGAGCTCAACATGAATTGTAACAGCCAGGGCAATGCGTAAACCGGTACCCAGACACGTAGACATATACTGTAAATCTGGAAATTACCAGTGGAATGATTCATACCCTTGCCTTGCCTTGCCTTAATCGACACTTGCCTTAATCCAATCAAACAGCAAATAACTCCGCTAAAAACAACTCAGAGTTTATATGTTTACCCTGTTGAATTGGCATTAAGGAAGTTCAAAGGCAATTCAATAATTGAACTGACAACTGTTCACTGATTGGTCTGCAGAGAAGGTGTCAACAAGCTTGACACGAGTGGGTAGATAACTCACCGGATGCCCATCGTGAAAAGTTTATTACACACTTTCGCACATAATTCACGCTTGCATTAATGTCAAGATTTACAGATCCCGTTGTCACTGCCAGCATTCTGACGTGTCTCTGTAGAGCATAGAAGTCCCTTATATTCGTAATCCATGGAGCTGTTGATGACTCCCGCTTAAGCTATGCCTTTGAAATGGCAACAATGGCAATCTAATATGTGGTTAATACTTTTTTCTTTAGTTAAAGCATTAATTGTTTATTGTTAAACACGGGCTGTGTACTCGTGGGCAGATGACCACGGAGTACGCTGGTCACTGTGTCGGATTAACGAGACTGATTAATGAGTGATTTTGGTAATTCGTTGCAAATTAGGTATGTCGGAGTCGGAGTGCGAGACTGTCGGATTAACAGGTCTAAATAGCCCTGATTTAATCGGTTCCCATCATTAGTGTCGGATAAAGCCGATTGTCGGATTAACGAAACTTGACTGTACATAACAATATCAATTTGAACATTGTCACCCAGGCATGTAGAATGTTTCAAACTCTATTATTCACCACTGACAACCTGCATCCTTTGCTCACCAGTACATTATTGGTTTAAACATAATTATTTTCACAAAAGTGTGAAAATGGATTGGTAAACAAGCGAAGCGCTTATGTTAATACCCCTCTATTACACATAGCATATCTTACAATAAATACATCAATGAAGGTTAGATGTAACAAATGAATTGTACATGTCAATCTAGATGTGTATATATAATAAATCTATTTGCAGTTTATATTAAATAATTCATTTAACTGAAAATCTGCCAGTTTTTAATGTGAAGTTTTGAAAAGAACCTAATATTAGGATTTCCTCTTCCTCACTCATATACGAATTTCCGCATTGCACCGTTTGTAAAGAATAACCATGTTGGTAAAAATACATTTTCATTTCAAAGAAGATAGTAATTTGTACATACAAAAAAGAAGTGTAAAGCATCTGCGATGTGATATCAACAGGATCATCTTTTTTGTATTCAAGATATATCCAGCCTATGGATCTGCGTTAAGATCGCTGCAGCCAAACCTTAGGCGACCGTGAATAATTTGACATAACCTGCTTCCATAATTTAAATCCAAGTGTATACCATTATCTCCCTTTACGTGAAGCAAATTCTTAAATTGTGTAACGGTCTCTGTCGCCGTTAGGTTTTCTGGTAACATATTCCGAAGTACAGTACATCATTGCCCTTCTGTGCTGCAACCATCACCAGTGTGTAACCATGCTGACTTCTGCTCTCGATGTCACCTATCCCATGCGAGAGAAGACAGGATTCCGCCACTGACCCCGTATGGGATCACCGCCACCAAATTGTTCAGAAGTTGCCTTCTGAATGGCATTCATAAAAAAAGGCGGAAACTAACTCAGACAGATGAAAGTCATCATCAAAATAGACGCATCCTTTGATCTGATGCTTGATTCTAGCATCTCCCATTTGACAGATTTTGCAAGTCATGAACTGGTTTACTCGTTTTCGTTTGCCATCAATTGCCACTGGCGAGTCAGCTCCATCCCATCTCCTGCGCGGCAACATTTCTGACAAGATGTAGTTCATCCATGTCTGCATCCATGACATTACACATCTCTTTACCCTTAAGGCGAATTTCATAATTGGAGATGCAAACATGATTTAACGCTGTGCTTAACTTATGCAGTATGTTTAAAGTAATCAGAGCACGGGAATCTGGTTTGTCTATGCACTGCGCATGACGAGCAATATTTTTCTAAGTATGAAGTGATCAGTGGTTTCTGCAAGCTTAATTACTTTGTGATACCAGCAGATCACTGCCATATGTAATGATGCAGTTGAATGAGCTCTGTTGTGCAGAGATAAATATACTCAACAACCAAAGTTCAAGTGACACCAATATTTTAGTGTATTTTTCAAACAAGTAAAGTTTGGTTTTCAATACATGTATGGAATCAAGTCACACAAACACAGCTGCTATAGAAAAGCATGCATTCCATGCAAAAGTTGACTTTTATGCAAGCCCCATGCATTTCACTACCCAAGATTGGGTATAAAAACATGTGCGTTAACGGGATTCCACATGCATTGTTTAGCATCGTGCTGACAACAACCACTCAGAAAAACAACAAAATTACGCAATTATTCAATATTACGAAATGCCACGCCTGTCCAAAAATGAGCGTCTGCGAGCCATTGGTATGCTTGATGCAGGATCGAGTCAATGTGATGTCGCAAGACATTTAACGTCCACATAAACACCTTTTGGTGTTTATGGCAACGTTGGCCACAGAAGAATGCAGTCAGAGACAATCCTCGGAGTGGCAGGCCACACGTAACCAATAATAGACAAGACAACTGGATTCGAACAACACACCTACGAAATCGATTCCAGCCAGCAACAGTGACTGCAAGAAGCATTCCTGGCCTTCGACGAATATCTTCACATACCGTACGTTGTCGGAAGACACGCCCGTCTACGCTGGACGGCCATGCAGTGGGGACAAGTTCTATTCACTGACGAGTCTCGTTTTCAACTCAGCCACAGCGATTGACGGATTCGAGTGTACCGACGTCGAGGTGAACGTTACGTCAATCATTGTGTCATGAAGGAAGATCGGTTCGGGGGCGGCAGCGTTATGGTATGGGGTTGGATTACAGCAAGCCAGAGGACCCGTTTGATAGTGGTGGAGGGGAATCTCAATGGACAGTGCTTCCGCGACGTAATGCTCGGCCCTGTTGTTCTACCGTTTTTGCATC